CCCCATTCCAAAGACCACTTTTCTTCTTCTTTATACCTTTTGTTACCCATTGTGTGTGTTTTCCAGAGATTGTGGTCTCTGCAGATTTGCCTTAGCACGTTGCTAGACCTCTGTAGATCAGAGCTGCTTGAGGCTACAAGAAGCTGGTAGACCCCCCCAAAGGACTGATATGGCCACCATGACCTTAAACAGAACATTGCAAGCTGAGATTGCTCTTTAAAAACGGTTGGAATAAAATATCAGCCACATGGGGGGTGCATTGTATTCAATGAGAAGTTTGAATTAGGGCGGTTGATGTACTAAAAGAATGTGGACTGTTCACCTAGCCAAGGTAATGTATACTTAGCTTAGTGATGGAGAAGAAGCTGTGCCCACATCAATCACCCAATCACGTACGAGCAAAAATCCTGTTTTCATTTTCTTCCCCGCACACGATTTGTTAGTCAAAATGAACGTAGTTACACCTCATTCACCAAGCTGGGTGAAAATTCCCTTTGCAAAGTGACCATTCTCTACGCCATTAGTAAACTCAACCCCAATGTCTTGTAAGAAGCAAAAGAAATCACAATTCATTATTTACTGAACAACACTGCAGAGCAGGAATAGACCCGGGTGTGACTACGGCCATCCAAATGGATAGATTTCATTACAAATTGTACATATAATGTTTTTTTCTTTAGAAACACACAATAATAATATAATTTAGGTCACGTTGATGTCTTGTACTTGTGAATATCAGAATATCATTGAAAAGGTGACACATTCCCTTTACAGTAGCTGTTGTGTTGATATGCATGTGGTGTACAGTTCTTATGCAGTTCTTGGCCAACACTTGTCTGGACTCGCACCTGAGTGGTGGCCTCTTCCTGAGTTTTTCCGGTCTTTATTTTTATTTTTTCCACATTTACATTTTTAATACATTTTTAGGTCATTTTTAAGGCAGTTTTAGGCTTCAGCATTTTATTGTATCCGGTGGAAAGCTAGTAGTTAGAAGGAGGAGATCATTGATGCAAAATCTCTTGAAAAGGAAGGATACGTGTATTTTTCGGGTGTCTGTGAAGGTTCCCAATCATCCAGGTTATGGTGGTTTATCTGTAAAAATTTAATTTTTAAAAATCTGTATTGGGAAAGCTGGTCGGATGACCAACGAAATGTCTTCAAGAACAAAAAAATACAGCAGGTCCAGTTGCCTTGATTTATTTTTTACAGATATTTGTCAGGCAATCACATTGAAGTCTATTCTGGCCAAAATTGTGCGACTCTACACCAAAAGAAGTAATTTTGTAAGGGAAAGGGGGCCAAGCGACACTATGGTCAGGTGTGAACAGGCACCATTGAATAGAATGGGTATTGTCATGTTGACTGTTATCTTGTGAACATGCCACCAAATGCTCATGTGTGAATGAGGTCTTAGAGGCGTGTTGTATAAACCAAAGCCGATTTGTTGCCCTTTACATGCAGAGCTGTGTATTTGATCCCAGTAAGGAACGGTTTCCAGTCCTTCGTCCACCATTCCATCACATATAATCTCCAAATGTCTTCGTAGATCACAAAGTCCTCCGTCTTCTGGTAACTTCTTACAATTTAGGTAAAATTTCTTCAGCGTCCACAGATACTTATTTTGGGATTTAGCAAAAAAAAAAAGAAAAATTCTTCAGCTCTCAGAGTGATTTTCCGCAGACTTCCTTTCCAGCTTCTGTACCTCCGAGACTTGACTCTGCTACAAAGTAAAACATTTTATTGTTATTGTCAGTGGTGAGAATTCTAGGAGCGCAGACATGACACGGGACATTGGGTCACAGTATTCCCCCCCCTCCTCAATCATGGAGCTTTGGTCTCCCGGGTACATTGGCTCTGACGCCTCCAGAGAGGTGAAGCCAATATCCCTGAAGTGGCTCATTGTCAGGTCGCAGCAGGAGGAAGGGTTGTGATGATTGGTGGATGGGATGTAGCTCATAGGAGGGGGGTTTAGCACCAGGAATGGGCTGCAGTACAATCGCATTTGTTTAAGAAGATTATAGAGATTGATTGAGAGTGATTTGTGCAAAATGTATTTTAGCAGGAATGATTTCACCGTGGGTGAAAGTTTAGTGACGTCATTTGGCTCATTGAGCTCTTTAGCTAAAATTTGTTTTAACAAAAAAAATATATGTATTTATTCATTTATTTGGGTGGTGAATTTGGGATATTTTTGTGTTTTTAATTTGTAGTTCTTTATATTTATATATTTGTGATTTTTCCTTTTTTTTTCTGTATTTGATCAATAATTGTAACTAAGGGGGTTATTCACAAAGTTGCCGAAGGCAGCCGAGTAAATAACCCAACCGAAGTGAAGTGAGCCGAACAACATTCAGCTATTCACTCCGGCTCAGTACGGCTGATTGCCTTCGGTCAGCCGAACATGCTCTGCAGTGTTGCAGTGCAGAGGGACTTCGGCTAAGCCAATCCAACATCCTACAACTTTTTCCTATCGGCCGGCACCTGCTAGAGTCTTCTAGCAGGTCCCGGCCAATGAACAACAACTGGGTGGAGCCGGCCGTGACGTTACAGCCGGCTCCGCCCAGTTTTTATTGCTTAATGACAGATCAGCGTCCCCAGGTGATTTGGGGACGCTGATCTGTCATTACATCTGGGCGGAGCCAGCCATGAGATCACGGCTGGCTCTGCCCAGCTGTCATTTGCGTGGAGAATGGCCGGCCCTTTATGCAGGCCGTTCTCCCCGCTTCGGCTGTCATATGCCTTCGGCTCGGCTGAGCCACTCGGCTGCCTTTGGCTGCTGCGAGGGCTACAGTGAATAGCCCGTACAGCAGCCCTTTCGGTTCAGTCAGAGGCAGCCAAAGGATCAGCCAAAGCTACGGCTGGATCCTTGGGATCCATAGTGAATAACCCCCCAAGTTTCTATGTAATTTCTTTCACATTTTTTCTGTATAATATAAAATAATGACGCAAATAAGTGGCAGACAAAACAGATCCGAGAAAGTTAATAAGAGCTTCTGTAAGCCTCAAGACACATTTAAATCCCAATGCACCCCCAAAAACCTTCATTTTGCCCTCCCTATACAATGACTCCAGTGCATTCGGCACGCATGGCAACATTTTGCCAAAATATGATGATTTTTGGAGGAATTTGTGTGAAATTAAAACTCAATTACGTTCATCCCTAAAAAAAGATCTATATAAAGATTGTTCCATGGCAGGATGAGGCCACCACTACTCATGCTGTCTGTTGTTTCTCGGCAGCTTGAAGCAGAACACTTTAGTTCTTTGATTGCAACTTGGAGAAAATACCTTTCGGGATGCATTTAAAATTGACTAGTCGCTGACGGCCACAATTCGCACGTTCAGACCCAGATTTTCCGCTGACAGTCGGGTCTTTAAACACTTTACCAACAGCTGCTCTTGAACATTTAATGAATTCTGCTGTTTTGCTGATACTCGCTCCATGGCTCCGAGCGCCAACAATCATCCCGCGTTCAAAGGCTGTTAAATCGCGTTGTTTCCCCGAATCTTCAGAAACAAATCACTTCTACTGTCGTGGTAACCAACCTGCTTCCCTATTTATAATGGTCTGGCCCTCTAGCAACTTCAGCGCAAAATTATAGCTAATTTGCCTACAAACGTCAGGTGGTCATAATAATCCAGCCACTCAGTGTATATAATAATCCAGCCACTCAGTGTATATAATAATCCGGCCACTCAGTGTAGTGCAGTGAGAAAGCATTGTCACCCTAGGACAGGAAGTGTGTCACTGGCAGGATCACCAGGTGACAAAAAGGGAGAAAAAGACTGAAAAATAAATGCAGCCACCACATCCACGGACGGGTTCAGCATTCTACAAATAGTAGTTCTTGGGTTTAGATACCCTGGTTGCATTTATTTTGTAGTGAATGCCAATTACTGTAAAAGATATGAAGGTCGGAACTTACAGACTTTTTGGTCATGGGCAGCGTAGTGCCAGATGTGACTTCTGAGTCTGACCTCCTGGACCGCAGTCTACGGAACCCTCTTCTATACTCTTCCATCACCTAGACATGTCATGAGGAAACTGTTAGGGTTATGTAACCGAGATAGCACCATAGACAGAAGGTTCAGTATACAAATGAATGTATCATATGACCTGGCGGTTGAGCAGGCAGTGCACACAGAAGATGTACAATCCCTGGAGGCTGTTGCAGATGGTGAAGATGTAGGACATGACCAGGGAGCCCGACCCAAACTGGAAGATTCCAATAATCCAGGTACAGCCCAATATGAAGAGTTGGGACAAAGCCTTGAATGTCAGAAGACTGTGGGAGAAGAAGAGTCAATGGAACATGCAGAAAGGTGAAAGCACGAGACAAATGTGTGCTGAAGGTTTAGAACCTGTCCTCTTTATTGCCGTATGGGTCAATGATTTATCCTCACATATTGTCCCAGTGACAACCTTCCATTCTCAATGAGAGACACAGACGGCACTACAAATCGTAGGTTCTAATCCTTTATCACTCTGTTTAAAACTAAATAAACTTTGTATGCAATTGGGGTTTTAATGTAAGTCTATTTATCAAGCTCAGCTTAAGATGAGATCATTCCTGTGTAGAATGTGGCGGTGACAGCAACCGCCATAGGAGCCTGGGGCATGAAGGAACGTCCTTTCCACATGTCTGATCATGAAGCTGCAGGAAGGGCCTTCAGGAGGAGGAGCGGTCTGGACTGGGAATCAGCAGGAACTTGTGGAGTGCTATTGTACAGATAAATGCAGTGCTTGCTGAGGGAAAGGTGGAGGTTTCATCATTCCTGTATCAGAATGAGGACACAGTTGGGTTTGAAGGGTCATCAGTTTCAAGTTAACCTTTCAGTATCATAAAGGTACTGAAAAGGCTGTTACAATCCCCAGCGTGTCCTGAATCATAGACCCCTGTACAATACCAATTTCATATATTGCTCAAGCTGAGGCTCCCAGACCTGAATGGCATTTAGGAGCTCCCGAATGCAATTGGGAAATTCGAAACCCGAATGCCATTCGGGTCTAGCAGCCTCAGCTTTAGCATTATATATACTGTATATGGCTCCCATTTTGCCGTAATGACCCATTCGGAGGCATTAAACCGAAAAACACATCTGATTGGCCAGAAAAGTCACACGTCCGATACAGTTTCCTTTTTGAACGAAATTCAGACGGGATCCGAAACTCTCAAACGTAAATTCGGATTCGGATGCATTGGGGTTTGGAAAATCAAATGTGTCCGAATGTCCGAATTTCGGAACATTTGTCGGAATTTTTATTCAGAACGAAGCGAATCACGCATGTCTAGTTAAACATCTGTATTGTGATTAAACCTGTACATGTCATACCTACCGGGTTTGTTTTAAGGTTGAAACATTTGCATTGAGGGACGCTATCTTCTTCTTGAGGAGCACAAATGTAGTAACCAAGAGAATGAAGTTTATCTGAGGAAACACATTGTGAGAAAAAAAAGTTGGTCAAAGATTGAGGACAGTGGTCAGATCTCCTTCAGAAAGAGCTTCTACCTAGAAGACACTCTCACCAATTGCATCCTGCAAGCATGTGTGATTCTATTAGATCCTAAATCCTCCCCTTTGTGCTAACACTTATCTGGTGGGGGTGTAACAGTCCACTGATTGATTCATTCCAACTCAGCTGATAACTTGCCCCTCGATCTCCCGCTCACAGAAGGTCTGCAGAGGCTGTTGGCATCCCATAAACAGGAACTGATTTCTATTTGGTGCTTTTATCCGTATTAGATGGACACCACTCAATGTGCACGAGGACCCAAAATGTAATGAGCTAGACATAAGCATACAGGACTGGGAATCTCATCTGATATACTCACAGTGATGAACACACAAACCGGACCGATGAAACTCCAGACGAGATCCTGCCTGAGCCAACAACTAGAGAGAGCACAGAGGTATGGGGTCATGTCACTGTATGCAAGTCTATTGTTTGTAAAGCATGTCTGTTAGAGCAAAGAGGAGAATCTCAGGAAGAGTATTCCTTGGAAGAAGAACCTCGGGAAGGTTGTGAAGAAATGAATCTCAGAGAAGATTCCTGAAGAAGAGGGAAGTATCTTAGGAAACACGATGGGTGAACAGAGAGGACATTGTGGGAAGGGTGGTTGGTAAAGAGAGGAGAATCTCAAGAAAATTAATTAGTAGAGAAAGGAGAATCTCAGGAAGGTTAATTCATGGAGAGAAGATAATCTTGTGTTAGGGTAATCGATGAAGATAGAAGAATCTCAGGAAGGGTAATTAGTAGAGAGAGAGAGAACCTTGGGAAGGCTAACCTCTGAAAAAAGGAGCATCTCAGGAATTATTATTATTATTATATGGGATTTATATAGCGCCAACAGTTTGCACAGCGCTTTACAATATAAGGAAGACATTACAGTTACAATACAATTCAATACAAGACGGTAAGGAGGGCCCTGCCCCTGAGGGCTTACAATCTAAGAGGGAGGGGCCAGTGATACATGAGGAGGGAGCTGTGTGGGGATGACTGAAGAGATGAGTCTTAGGCAGTCAGAGTGTGAGATTGATGGACAGGTTGGAGTAGAGAGTTCCAGAGGATAGGAGAGACTCTAGAGAAGTCCTGGAGGCGAGCATGGGAGGAGTTGATGAGGGAGCTGGAAAGCAGGAGGTCATGGGATGAGCGGAGGGGGCGGTTGGGGTGATACTTTGAGACCAGGTTGGAGATATATCCGGGGGCAGAGTTGTGGATGGCTTTGTAAGTGGTTGTTAATATTTTGAATTTTATCCTTTGGGCTATTGGAAGCCAGTGCAGGGATCGGCAGAGGGGGGTTGCAGACACTGAGCAGAAAGGGTAATCGGTGAAGAGAGGAGAATCTCAGGAATGGTAATTGGGGAAGAGAGAAGAATCTCAGGAAGGGTAATCAGTGAAGAGAGGAGAATCTCAGGACAGGTAATTGGTGAAGACAGGAGAATGTCAGGAATGGTAATTGGTGAAGAGACGAGAATGTCAGGAATGGTAATTGGTGAAGAGACGAGAATGTCAGGAAGGGTAATCAGTGAAGAGAGAAGAATCTCAGGACAGATAATTGAGGAAGAGAGGAGAATCTCAGGAAGGGTAATCACTGAAGAGAGGAGAATCTCAGGAATGGTAATTAGTGAAAAGAGGAGAATCTCAGGAAGGGTAATCAGTGAAGAGAGGAGAATCTCAGGAAGGGTAATCAGTGAAGAGAGGAGGATCTCAGGAAGGGTAATCAGTGAAGAGAGGAGGATCTCAGGAAAATGAAGTAGTGGAGAGAGGAGGATCTTGGGAAGGGAAATTAGTGGAGAGAGCAGAATCAATGGAAAGGGTAATTGTCGGATAGCGGAGAACGTCAGGAGTCAATGGTGGAGAGACAGTATCAGGAAGTGCAACTGGCAAAGAGAGCAGAATCTTGGGAAGAGTAAATGGCGTAGCGAGGAAAAGTGTTTAAGTGTAAATAGAGCAGAAAGGGGTAACAGACTCATTTGATGGGGTGAAGGTTATTTTCGCTATTACACAGAGAAGTTAATCTTGGGATGATGAAACATTGGACAGAAGGAGAACTGCAGGAAAATAAGAGAGATTCAGTACACCAGGACGGGTGAATTGGAAGGTCATTAGAAATGGGGATTAGTCTGTTTTTAGACTCTTTTAGTCATACACAACTTACTATTTTTCTGTTCCATATCCATCCGGCCGCATAGCTGCAGAGACGATAATGATGATGAGAGGAATTCCAAACCCGGCTATACACATATACGGGAAAAGGGAGCGTTGAGACGTCAGGTAGTTCATGGCCTGCAGGTTCCGGACCGTCATGAAGAGTAGGGCGCTCTCCAGAGACATCCAGCAGAAGGCACAGAGGAAGGAGAACTGGAGGAGACCGGCAATCACGCCGCACAGGACCTGAGACACACACGGGATGGGGGGAGGTGGAAGAGTACAAACACAGTAGTTAGGCCCACAATCCCTTTGTGTAGAATGATTTTCATGCTTGAGAAGCTTTTTGACCACCAAAACCTCAGACATGTATTTGTGTTAGCGCAGAATCTCAAGTCATCTGATTGGTTGTTTGAATCATAATATGCATAGAAAGATTGTAAGTGGTTATGTGGCCTATTTACTAGCACCGTCAGGGCAGCCATCAGGGGGGTACGGCCGATACTCATGTAAGGGGACCGGGCAGCCTGGGAGCCCGACCGGGTCCCTTACATGACTATCGGCCGACGGTGAAGGGCGAGCAGGCGGAGGCCTGGCCCTAGCAGCGCAGGGCCCCAGCATTGCCGCTCCAGCGGCTTCGAGACAAGCTGGGGCCCCATCAGCGATGCTGCTCGTCTGATGTCGGACTGGCCGGAAGTGACGTCACTTCTGGCCTGTCTGGCGGCAGACGAGGCCACGTGTGCAGGTAAGAGGAGCTAGGAAGGAAGGAAGGAAGGAAAGGAGGGAGGGGAGGGATGCAGCCCTGACCAGCCCACCTGAGACCCCTTCAGAGCCCACCATAGTCAGTCTCAGATGGGCTGTGCAGGGTCACTCTCAGGTGGGTCCTGTGTCCAGCGCGTCACTAAGCCCTGTGTTCAGCGCGTCACTAAGCCCGTGTCCAGCAGCGCGGGGGGGCGGCCTAAAGCCGTGTAAGGGGCCCCAAAATTTCTGACAGCTGCCCTGAGCACCATGCTGACCAATGAGTGCTCGCCATATGTGAGAGAAATGTAAAGTACATACCGCAGGGCGGCAAACCTGTGTACGAAGTGGTGGATCGTGGACAGGTATGCCCCTGGGAGGGGGTGGGGATGTAGAGGGGGCAGATTGGTGGGGGTAAATCAATTTTCATAAATTTTCCTGGGAAAGTGGAATTTCCCTTTAATGAAGCTCATTTTTCATTAATAAAACATTAAATATATTTTTTTAAATATAGGCAGTGCAAGAAAATGAGTTTGACTTGGTATCGGAATTTTGAGCTGAAGATCACACCACACCCCCATGTAATAGAGATAGGGAGAAGGGGAGGTGTTCTATGGTCCTGTTAAAACATTTCTGTTGAGCCTTCTACCAATCCAGTGTCCAGTGTAACCTTCTGGGCGCTGAAATGAACTGAAATCTCAAACAATGTTATCGGCCTTTCCAGTTATATTATGTGAACAACAAAACTCCTCTTCCATGTTAAAGGCGATATGGACAGGAGGAGGTGTTTGTAGTCCAAATCAGTAGAGCAGACTAGGGTGACAAAGCCGCTCCTCGTAGATAAAGTGCAGTGAGTGAGCGTTGTGACTCTAGAACAGGAAGTGTGTTACTGGAAGGTCTTCTGTTTATTCATTTGTCTGTTGCTGGGGTTTGTGAAAGGTTAGGTATCAGGGAACACACATTTACCTTATACCCAGTCTGATGCAGGCCGAACAAAGCCAACAACTGCCCAATGAAGAGACACACGCACAGAGCTGTCAGGACGGAGGTGTGAGCGCTTCTTATAGACCGGCACAGGAGGAAGGTGAGAAGTGACAGGCAGAGACAGACGAGGGACACGCTCAGGCCAATACGAGAGATCAGAACTAAGCCATAGTCCACCTGTAGATGAGATGAAGGAAAAGTTCAAGGGGTTGTCCACCTGGAGATGACTCTTGGTTCCTTGGACTTACCATGCCAAACGGAAGGTCTGCTTTTTTTGCCGACCCCCTGCCGCCTCTTCCCCCAATCAAAAGCCATTCGTACACAAACAGATCACCCGGAAAAAACACTTTGTAACTCAGTCCCAGTCTCCAACACTTCCAGGAGGCAATGGTGGCATCACCGTGCCTCACCGCTGTGCCTTGAGATAGCTGTGTGCTCGAAATCCCATGAGAATGCACTCTTGCTATGGGGCAGAACTTTCAAGCTTCCAGTTCTGGCGGGAGGTACAGTACATCCCCCTCGGCTCCTGGAAGAGTTGGGGGCTAGACCGAGGTAGATAGTTTTTTTGGGGGGGGGGTATTTTGTTGGTTTACAAATAGTTTTTTTAAGTTATTTGTGTTGGTGGCGGACAGGGGACTAGCAAAACAACGGACCTTCCACTGGGCATGGAAGGTATTTAAGTAAATCAGCCCAAATGTGTTGCGTTTTAAATATATTGTTGTTATTATTATCGGGGTGCGTTCATTTTTTTTAAAAACATTGTTTCTAGATATATGTTTTTAATAATACATGTACATGGGAGCAGATATATTTCCTGATGACATATTGCTTAATATCCCAACAGTTCTTCAGAATAAAGGCGGAGGGTTGCATATTGAGTGTTCTTCTACTAGCAGCTAATCTTCAAATCATTATATTTATTGCAACTAGAATAATTCACCGCTCAGCCATAACATTATAACCGCCTAATATTAAGTAGACCTCTGAAGGTGTGCTGTGGTATCAGACACCAAGCCGTCAGTAGCAGATCCTCCTAGTCCTGTAAGTTGTGAGGTGATCGGCCTCCATGGATCAGACTTGTTTTTCCAGCACATCCCACAGATGATCGATTGGATTGAGATCTGGAGAATTTGTAGGAGTCTGCACTGGATTAGAAACTGGCACCAGCGCTGGAGGGATTGCTGAATTTAAGTGGAAGGAAGAAGATGATCAAATCAAGAGGCATCATTTAAGGTGAGTCCTTAAAGCAGCATAGGGGGGGGGGGGGGGGATTTGTGACTTTATTGTCCCTTTAAGTCCTGTAAGTTGTTAGGTGAGGCCTCCATGGATCGAACTTGTTTTTCCAGCACATCCCACAGATGTCATCACCACATTGTTGTGTCCCTCAAACCATTCTTCAACCATGTGTGCAGTGTGGCAGGGTGCATTATCCTGCTGAAAGAGGTCACTGCCATCAGGGAGTACAGTTTCCATGAAGGGGGTGGACTTGGTCAGCAACAATGTTTAGGTCGGTGATACGTGTCACAGTAACATCCACATGAATGGCCGGACCCGATGTTTCCCAGCAGAACATTACCCAAAGCATCACACTGCCTCCGCGGGCTCGTCTTCTTCCCAGAGTGCATCCTGGTGCCATCTCTTCCCCAGGTAAGTGACACACACGCACCCGGCCATCCACATGATTCATCAGACCAGAATGTAGGTAGGTGCAGTACGGCCAATGGCCACTAGATGCCCCCATGGGGCCCTGGAGATAGATGCAGCTCTGGCCTGGGGAGACTCTGTGTCCCAGGAGAGTTGATTTATAGGGGGCGCCCGAGAGGGGAAGAGAGGAGAGTTGTGCTGAGCAGTACAGGAGAGCAGAAGTCAAAGACTGTATGCAGAGTCTCCGGAGGGAGACTGTTTCTTAAACATAGGCTGGTCCATGGGAATGACAGGACCAGGCCTAGGACTATGTAGAGCTACAAAGATTCCCTAGTTTCCCCACAGGGGGAAACCCACCGTGCTAGGACTGACAAGGATGGGATTCCGGAGAATAATGAGAAGCTGTAAGACTAACAATATTTGCCAGTGGGCCTCTGGCCGAAGTAAGTTGTGGACTCTGGGCTGCACCTGGGCTGTACCTCTCTCTCTCTGATTTGTATCACCATGCAACTATCAAGAACTGTGCCGTCATCCCATTCGGGGGTGGCTGAACGTATGCTTTGTTCTGTTAATACCTTTAAGTAAAACCAAGAAAAGACTATCTGTGTGGACTGGTTTTTCTCCCTCCAACCTCTGAGAAGGTTCTACAGGAGGGTGATGTTGGACTGTATCGTGGCTGTAACCATCCAGAGGAGGGTAGGTGTGCAAAGGGGCTATGCCCGACACAGGGTGCCGTTCATGGTGGCCTTTCTCCCTAAGGGGGAGGAAGCGCCGAAGACCGCAGAGGCGGTTGAAGCCATGAGGCCGTGTGTGCGCAGTACTACAGGTGTGGGAGTGTTTGCACGAGGCCAGAGCCGTTGGCCCCTGACCGTGGGGTGCCTGGTTTCGGGTTGCATACACGGGGTTACACAGCCAACCCAAAGGGAACACACACGCAACACCCCAAGAGTGAACCCCGCCTACAAGGCCACCTTCTTCCATTGCTGTGTGGTCCAGTTATGATGCTTATGTGTCCATTGTAGGTACTTTTGGCGGTGGACACGGGTCAGCAGCTTCACAGCCTCATACACAAAGAACTACAATGTACTGTGTATTCAGACACCTTTTTATAGGAACCAGCACTAACTTTCTTTCAGATATTTGACCTGCAGTAGCTCTTCTATTGGATTGGACTCCATGGGCCAGCCTTCGCTCCTCACATGCAACAATGAGCCTGGGCCACCCATGATCCTGTCACCGGTTGACCGGTTTTCCTTCCTTGAACCACTTTTAGCAGGTCCTGACCACTGCAGACTGGGAACATCCCACAATTTGACCCTTTTCAAAGTCACTCAAATCCTCACACTCGTCCATTTTTTCTGCTTCCAACACATTAACTTCAGGGACAAAATGTTCACTTGCTGCCCAATATATCCCCCCCCCCCACTTCCAGGTGTCATTGTAATATATCCCCCCACTTCCTGGTGTTATTGTAATATATCCCCCCCACTTCAAGGTGACATTGTAACTGGGTGCCATGAGGACAGCGAAGGTGGACAGGTGGTTGCATACGCAGAAACTACTGTTCACTCTGTCAGACTTCTGGGTCTCACATCCACGGCTTGACCAAATCTTCAGCTCCAAATCCCAGAACACACATTGTAAGATAAAGGAAGGTGGGACATCCTATGAGGGAGGATATGGTAAGTATCTATTATGCCACCAAAACAAATTTATGCCGTAATACACCAAAACAAAATTTTTTGGGCACCAAAATGACACATGAAGAATAATTTGTGTAACTAAACAAAAAAGACCCAAATTGTTGGGACAAGTGCTATTCTAGTTATAGTGATACCTGCCAATATGCTTGGTGATGCTCCAATGGGAGGGGCGATACTTGATATACAGCACGGGTATAAATGAACTAGTCTGAGTCTTTTGTACTGACCGTTAGCTGTCTCAGGTGGAAGGCCACCGGGGGTTCCAGGTTGGCTGTATTGGGACTGGTGATGGCTCCACTTATGATGGGGGAATTGATCTTCTCACTGTCTTCAGGGTTGTCTTCTCCTAATGCCCCAAAAGCACTGCCATTCAACTTAGATTCCAATCCTATATAGGAGATTAAGATTGCACCATCTAGGAGGAAAATATGAACATACAATAAGGATGGGAAAATACAGTCTGTATACAATACAATTGCTATGTATCTGCTTATAAAGTAAGGGGTCTATTTATAAACAATTTACAGAGCCATTCGCCCTGCGAATCTCTGCGAACATTCGTGTGAATAGAGTTTTTAGATTGTAAGCCCTCAGGGGCAGGGCTCTCCTTACCATCTTGTCTTGAATTGTGACTGTAATGTCTTCCTTATATTGTAAAGCGCTGTGCAAACTATTGGCGCTATATAAATCCTGTATAATAATAATAATAATAATAGAGGCAAAAACAAATCTATATTTTCTTTGGTAAGGAGGGCCCTGCCCCTGAGGGCTTACAATCTAAAAAAGGGAGTGGCAAGTGATACATGAGGATATAGCTGTGTGGGGATGAATTGTTTGAGAACGTGATGGTTGAGCGGTTAGGTTGAGGTGGGATAGGCTTCCCTGAAGAGATGAGTCTTTAGTGATCGCCTAAAGGCAGTCAGAGTGGGAGTTAGATGGACAGGTTGGGGTAAGGAGTTCCAAAGAATGGGGTAGACTCGTGAGAAGTCCTGGAGGCGAGTATGGGAGGAGTAGATGAGGGAGCCGGAAAGCAGGAGGTCTTGGGAGGAGTGGATGGGACGGTTAGGGTGATACTTCGAGACAAGGTTGGAAATATATCCGAGGGCAGAGTTGTGGATGGCTTTGTAAGCGGTTGTTAATATTTTGAATTTTATTCTTTGGGGTATTGGAAGCCAGCGGAGGGATTGGCAGAGGGGGGTGGGGGATGGAAGCCAGTGGAGGGATTGGCAGAGGGGGTGTGCAATGGAAGCCAGTGGAGGGATTGGCAGAGGGGGTGTGCAATGGAAGCCAGTGGAGGGATTGGCAGAGGGGGTGTGCAATGGAAGCCAGTGGAGGGATTGGCAGAGGGGGTGTGCAATGGAAGCCAGTGGAGGGATTGGCAGAGGGGGTGTGCAATGGAAGCCAGTGGAGGGATTGGCAGAGGGGGGTTGCAGACACTGAGCGGTTGGTTAGGTGAATGAGTCTAGCAGCAGCAGCATTCATGATAGACTGAAGGGGGGAGGAGCCTGTGTACAGGAAGGGCAATGAGGAGGGAGTTACAATAGTCGAGACGAGACATAGGAGCAGCACTCACCTTTACTTCCACTCACATGTGCACACGGGACCTGCATGGTGTTCTCCAGCACAGTCAGGGTTAGGGACGAGTCTCTACCACATATGTCTCTGGAAACCTTCATCTGAACCTCTGCAGGAGAGACCAAGAATCATGGAGACACCACACCGTCATATTCATCTACATCAGCTGTGTGTCTGGATGAAGTCTGCTCATTAAGTAATGATTTGCCCATCAAAATTGCTTTTACCACCAAGTGTGACCCTGCTGGGGGATCTGCCCTTCCAGTTTTGTCTGTTACCCGTGAAATTGACAGGAAGTAGAGAAATGTTTTTCACTTCCTGTTCTGTATGAAACTTTCCAAATAGACAAGAAGGAAAAATAAATCTCCAGAGGACAAAGATAGCAATAAAAAACTTGTCAGTCTCCCATTGTGGAGATTTTCCTTAATTTCCTTTTCATAGCTAAAACAGAAAGTGGGAGGAAATCTCTCCACGGACAGGGAAATCGTCTCAGGCAGTTGGCATGGGAACAGGCATCCCTTCTGAAAGATTTCCCCCCTTTTCCTGTTTCCACTAATGTAAACCTTTTGGTCACAAGGACAAAGAGAAGGGTTACACCCCGCAGCAAGGACACAGTTGGCGTGGTGATGAACATGTGATCAGCTATGACAGCAGACATTTGAGGGTTTGAAAGTTCGGTTGAGAGCAGAAATAAGCGCACTGACAACCACGACAGTTGGCAGGCCTTGAAGGTAATTGTTTTGGGGGATTTGAGTTACATTGGTGGGTCTGGTTCCACTTTAAATGACAGAGTCTCCTGTTCTCATGTTCAATACAAATAATAAATGGTGTTAGAAGATGTATGGTGGGAAGGTTTTGGATATATTATATTGGAAGGCATATTTGCTGGTTATACGGTGCTATCAGCAATAATTTTAATTGACCATTGGAAACCATTGTGTCGGCCCACTCACCCATCTCAGGTGTGCTGATGTTTTGGTTCTGAGGGCTGTTTGAGAAGGTTTCCAGCAACGAGGTCTCCACAGTCTCCACTATGGAGGTGAAGGCTGAACGTAGCTCTGAAGTAGTCAAGTTGTTCAAGGTCGTGTGGTTTAGAATCTCTGAGAACTCATTAGCAACTTGCTATGAAAAAGAAAAGACAAAAGGTGGTGAAAGACACACAGGATGAAGATGTCTACAGACATTAGGGAGCCTTCCCTCTATCTGGTCACTTATGATGGGAGCATAGGATGTCCTTAGGTTTATAGGCACCTACACAACCCTGGCCAAGCCTGTTCAGGAGAAAAGATAATTGGCTGGACTAGACCTTCCTGACCAATTGCCATTACTTATCCTGACATAGGCCAGGTTTGGGTCACACATTCGTGGCCGACCACCATCTAATCACTTGTAGACTCCAAAGAATAGAAGAAACAAATGAGGTCATTATATTGGTATTCTGTTTAGATTGTTCAACTAGAAGTGCAGTAACAAATACTAGAATTTCATTTGAATGATAGGACAGCTGGTAAGTCCCAAGAAGTGTCTCCTTAGATCCATAGGTCCCAAGAAGTGTCTCCTTAGATCCATAGGTCCCAAGAAGTGTCTCCTTAGATCCATAGGTCCCAAGAAGTGTCTCCTTAGATCCATAAGTCCCAAGAAGTGTCTCCTTAGATCCATAAGTCCCAAGAAGTGTCTCCCCAGATCTATAAATCCCAAGAAGTGTCTCCTTACAACCATAAGTCCCAAGAAGTGTCTCCTTAGATCCACAATATCATTGATTTAGATGAACCAGGAACACATTCCATAGAGTACTGGGTCCTCCTGGTAAGGACCTGAAGAATGCAATTAGCTCTCAAGACTCCTTCAGAGTTTTAAAATGAATGCTGGCATTGAAAGAGTGAGAAGGTTTCTTCCGGTGCTGCAAATACCTAATGTGGTGATGTATGACCACATCCCCATACTGAGACCACAAAGCTGGTATCTGTAGTAATGAGAATATCCTGTGAAAGAATAGCGGGTTTCCGGCAATGGACAAATGCAGAATGCTCTTAGATACATTCAGCTGCATTTGAGATCATTTTGAGAGTTCCTTCACGAGTTCCTCTGACCTGCATTTGACATCCTTCTGACTTGCAATAAACTACCTCAAGCTGCTTCTGTATTCCCTTTGAGCTGTATGGGGAAAAACTAGTTCTGACAAAAGCAAAAGACCCCCAAAGAAGCTGAGCCATTGCCAATCATCTCTGTAAATGATCTCCCATGATCTTCTTATCAGGGCCGGATTAAGAGCATCATGGGCCTGGTGATGTCGGTTGGTCGGACGGGAAGCAGCAGAGGTAGCTCTCTATGTAGTCAGTCACTCGCTCCCCCCAGCGAGCAGGCGCCTTATATGCCTGATTAGAGACCCACTGGAGCCACTGCCTGATTGTGTTCAGCCCAGCCGGATTGCCAAGGTGATCCGGGCCAGCCGGGCCTATTTTAAGTGGTGGGCCTGGAGCTGGCGCTCTACCTGTTATGGAAAGTCACTGCTGGTGTGAAGGTCCCTGGGCCACTTAGATCTATCTGCTTCTTTGACAAGAGATCTTCATTGGTTCATATAGTCAGTGTGGCTTTCTATGTTGTCTACAGAAATAGCTAATGGAGAATTAAAGGAGAACTATGAGGCGAGTGAAAATCACTCCTCCTCATAGTTCGAGCCGACGTGTGACAATGAAACTGTCACAGGTCGGCTCAATAGATCGGGAAGTGAGCGAACACATACCGGCACTCGCTCACTTCTCGATCCTGTCCCCCCTCCCCGCTCCAATCCTCCAGCGCTGACTGGCGGAACGGATGGGGGAGGGGGCGGGTACAGCTGGCTCTGCCTCTAGATAGGCAGAGCCAGCTGTCAATCACGCAGCTGGGTGGATCTCGACAGTAATGTCGGGATCCGTCCTGGCTGCGGCGTCTCAGTATATAGAGAGCTGTAGCTTGCGATATACTGAGCTTTAGGTCACGGGAGGACGCTAGTTTGTGTCCTCCAGTGACCCTTAGGAGAACTATGGGGAAAAGCCCTAACCCCATAGTTCTCCTTTAAGCTTTCCAAACACTAAGTGAACCCTTGAGTCTGGCCAAAAATGCCCTAAACTTAGCTATACAAATGTATGGCTTATGGCCATTCAGAGGTCTACCTCCTCCTTTGACAATAAGCTCAGCTCAGTCACGTGAACTTACACAGATGACTAATCAACCACTGCTCTGCCTTGAGTAAACTTTATAGCTTTAGGACATATATGGAGGCTGATGGGCAATTCTGGCTCGATTTGATGGGTGAACCTCGTAATTGGAATCTCTCTATTGCAGGGGTGCCCACAATTTTTGTGTTGAGATCTACTTTTCAAATGACGAGCTACATGAGATCTACCAACGGAAAAAAAAACCTCCCCCGCTCTCTCTCTCCTTGCTCTCTCTCCTGGCTCACCTTGCTGTATTTTTCAACAGGCTGTGTAAACCAATATTCTTTGATGTAATACAAAGCACTTCAACCCCCAGTATCCCCCAGAAAGATGTCAGGGAGCTCGGCTCAGCAGACTCGGGTTAATAGGTAATCATGTGTGCACAGCTAAATAAATATGCCAACATGGAATACAGGGGCCGCCATTCCCCCCCTTCCTGATCTACCAGCATCAGCTTTGAGAGCTACTGCTAGATCACCATCTACTGTACCTAATGGGCACCCCTGCTCTATTGTGTCGTATGTTGATGGGCAAATCCTCTTTGATAAAGTAAAGAGCTGAATGTTGTACAACACAGATGGACAAATGTCCAGCAAACATTCGCTGTGCGAATTGCACTGAGAATCCTCTATACACAGATGGTCTACGTCATCAAGAAGGGAAAGGTCTGGAGGATCGAGCCGTCAGGGTCAGTTCCAAGGGTACAGATCACTATAGTAAATATGTCACTGGTGTGAGTCCAATGTTATATGTCAGACATCATCTCGTGTATCATGGTCATTTTATTTGAAAACAATGTGATATACAGTAGCTTGAAATTCCCTTACCATTAGAACTTATCATACCGACAAATTAAATCTATGAGGTCCATTGGGTCATATTCTGTTTTCTTACCTGCGCTGTAACATTGGTGTCATTTCTGTGACATGAGGTTTCTTGAATACGAGCATTTTGCCTCAACAAATTGCAGAATCCATCCTATAATAAAACAAAAACCACGAATGTCATGTCCTTACATTTGGTGGTGGCCATACCTCCCAACCTTCTGGGATAAAACATAGGACACACGCTCCCAATTACACGGACTGTGAAGAATGACTATGCGAAAAACGATTGGTTAGACCCACAAGGGCTATTTCTTCACACTTCTCCTTCATACTGGCATTTCTATGTCCCAAATACAATCATTTAGGGGGTGAGGGAAAGATTAAGGGGTTCATTTATAAAGAATATCTGTGAACTGTTCATCATAGTTACATAGTATTTGAGGTTGAATAAAGACATATGTCCATCAAGTCCAACCTGTTGAGTGTATGTGTGTATGGTCCTGTGTGTGTATGTATAGGTCCCTGTGTCATCTCATTTTTAAAGGAGAACTATGATGCGAGTGCTTTCCACTCACCTCATAGTTCTAGCCGACCTGTGACAATGAGACTGTCACAGGTCGGCTCAGTAGATCGGGAGGTGAGCGAACACATACCGGCGTTCGCTCACCTCTCGATCCTGTCACGGCTCTCTGCCATGACAGGGGAGGGGCTGGATTCCTAGTGTCCTCCCGTCACCCTAGGCTCAGTATATAGGGAGCTACAGCTCGCGGTATACGGAGACGCCGCAGCCGGAAAGGATCCCGACAATTATGTCTGGATCCGCCCAGCTGCGTGAGTGACAGCTGGCTCTGCCTATCTAGAGGCAGAGCCAGTTGTACCCGCCCCGTCCGTTCTGCCAGTCAGCGCTGGAGGATCGGACAGGGGAGGGGGGAATCCAATCACGGCTCTCTGCAGGGATAGATCGAGAAGTGAGCGAGCGCCGGTATGTGTTCGCTCACTTCCAGATCTACTGACCCGACCTGTGACAGTTTCATTGTCACAGGTCGGCTAGAACTATGAGGATGAGTGTAAATCACTCACCTCATAGTTCTTCTTTAATCTCCTTACTTCCAATGAGAACATGTTTAAATTTAGTAGCTCAGGTTCTCCATCCCCTTAATGAGTTTGGTTGCCCTCCTCTGGACTCTTTCCAGTTCATGTGCGAGTATTTGCACGCATCAAGGTTCTTTAACTTATTTGCTTTACTATGGAAATTAAATTTGAACGTTCTGACTGTAATGCCCCATTATGGCCACTAGATGGTAAAAAGGAGCATAGGAAATAAGTATTGAAGCTCTATGCTCCTTTACCGCCATCTGGTGGCCATAATGCTATATGCTCCTTTACCGCCATCTGGTGGCCATAATGCAATATTACAGTCAGAACGGTGGAACTTATTTACACTTGTAAAAGAAAAATCGAAAGGAGGCTTGTGTGTGCATCTATATGCGCACAGGACAAACATTAACAGATATTCATGGGGCGACCGACCCTGCAGATTCTTTATTAATCAACCCATTACACTAGTGAAATTGTGCATTTTTTTGTAGAGTTCAATACATCAAACCACAAAGAAGGAAAACTTCAGTGGGAATTGGAAAAGAGGGATTTGATTCTAAAAGAAGAACAGTCCCTCCAAGTAAGGGACAGTTGGGAGCTATGGTGGTGGCTGTAGTAAATGAAGGAGTGGTGCGGGAGAAAGAAAAGGTGGTGGTGTCTCTTTAACACACAGAAGGGTCATTTCACATTGGTTTAATTATTCCCCTGTGCCATGGTCACACAAACACATGCAATCACCTTTTGGGTGAATCATAACCCCACCACTATTTTTTTAGGTTGTGGGAGCAAACCAGATCACCTGGAGGAGACCCATGGAGTGACACACCAGGCCAATGCAGCATCACAAGTCAAACCGCTTAAAGAAGAACTCCACTTTTGTTGAGACGAACCCAATCCCCTCTGAGCTATCTGTGTGCATTGTAAGGATTTTAACAAACTTTGCTGAAGTTTCCGACCTGTTTCTGTCCTGGAGAAATAGCTGCTTCTTCCAGCATGTCCCTTGCAAACTGATTCCCGAATAGAAGGGTCTCAATTCCTCAATGAGAGTGCCTGATCCTTGAATGGGAGGGTCTGATTGCTGAATAGGAGGGTCTGATCCTTAAATGGGAGGGTCTGCCTGCTGAATGGGAGGGTCTGATGCAGTGGCGTCCCGAGGCTGGGTGTCACCCGGGGGCGGAGACCGGGTGACATCCCTCCGTGACGTCATCATGCATGCGCACTGGTCTTTTTAAGCCCTGCCGGCGGACATCTTGGTGATGGACGCCGGCAGAGGGAGGAGGAGACAGTCAGTCCCCTCCTCTCTCCTGACACTGTCGGCTGTCGGTCCATGACCGAGTGCCCGACATTTCATAGAGGGTGACACCAAAATGACTGTTAGTCATTTTGGTGTCACCCCTAAAATGGTGGCACACGGACCCACCGCACCCCCCTTGTGATGCCACTGGTCTGATCCTTGAATGGGAGTGTCTGATACCTGAATGGAAGGGTCTGATTCCTGAATGGGATGATCTGATCCTTGAATGGGAGGGTCTGATTCCTGAATGGGACGGTCTGATTCCTGAATGGGAGGGTCTGATTCCTGAGAGTGCCCGACATTTCATAGAGGGTGACACCAAAATGACTGTTAGTCATTTTGGTGTCACCCCTAAAATGGTGGCACACGGACCCACCGCACCCCCCTTGTGATGCCACTGGTCTGATCCTTGAATGGGAGTGTCTGATACCTGAATGGAAGGGTCTGATTCCTGAATGGGATGATCTGATCCTTGAATGGGAGGGTCTGATTCCTGAATGGGACGGTCTGATTCCTGAATGGGAGGGTCTGATTCCTGAATGGGACGGTCTGATTCCTGAATGGGAGGGTCTGATTCCTCAATGGCAGGGTCTGATTCCTGAATGAGATGGTCTGATTCCTGAATGGGATGGTCTGATTCCTGTGAGGGAGGATCTCATCTCTGAATAGTAGTGTCTGATTCCTGAATGGGAGGGTCTGATTCCTGTGAGGGAGGATCTCATCTCTGAATGGGAGGGTCTGATCCCTGAATGGGAGGGTCTGATTCCTGTGAGGGAGGATCTGATCTCTGAATGGGAGGGTCTGATCCCTGAATGGGAGGGTCTGATTCCTGAATGGGGGGGATCTGATCTCTGAATGGGAGGGTCTGGGTTCATTATAACCAGTTGGTGGACTTTCTATGTTGTACTGAGGAAAGACTTCTGTGAAAATCAGTCAGCCAATCACAGAAGCAGGAAGCGAAATATCTGGGTCCCCATATTGCATCGAAATTTTTTGACACTTTTAGAAAACTACAGCAGCTGCAATTTTGAATGGAAAGGTAATTTCTTAATGGCATTGAATTACAAAATGGTTTGTGCAGCAATTATATTATTACATTTTGTAAATTTTTTCATTTTTAATTGTATTAAGTGGAGTTTCCCTTAAAGCACCGTACCATAGGAGTGCCCATGGTCATATTGAGCAGCAGTACACACCTGATTCATGGAGTTTTCACATTCCTGCAGCTCCTTGTTAAACTGCAATTGGCATCTCCTGTTCTCTGGGGAAATAAAAAGAGAATCGAAAGCTGAACTAAACTCTCACAACAGAGAACTTCATCTGGCACAGCACGTACAGGCGCAGTCCACCGAAATAATACTAAATCCACACACATTGGTGAAAGAAACAAATGTGTATTTATTATATCAAAGGTGCAGTGCACGGGCTCCTGCAGACTGTTCCTCCAGCCCCAAGTCCATATGTGATCACGTTTCATATTACACCCCAAATATGTGTGTAACAGGAAACATGGCCTGAAAGTTGGGCGATTTTATTGCAGAATTCGGCAAAATTCCTCTCCTCCTCGGCGCCATCTAGTGGCTATAATTGGATGTGAATCTAAAACTATGAGAGCTGTTCAGTCTGCGAACGTTTTATAAATACACAATATTAGCTATTGCACCTTATTCTTATTTTATAAACTGTTAGAGACGTCACAGTTTGTTTCTAGACAGATAAATAATATATAAAGGATTGCATATGAATATTTTGTAATTTTATATGAAGCCAGTAGGCGGCGCTTTCAGGTGATTTTCACATGCTTTCCAGGGGCTCCTTACTTACTACTCTCAAGGTGAAATTTACATACAAAAGTGAATGAGTCCCAGCCCCTCCCTCATCTTCCTTTTATATTGTTCTGTATCTCCTTGTTACCCTGGTTCTCCTTGTTCACTCCTTCTGTATCTCCTTGTTCACCCCTTCTATATCTCCTTGTTCACCCCTTCTATATCTCCTTGTTCACCCCTTCTGTATCTCCTTGTTCACCTCTTCTATATCTCCTTGTTCTCCTTGTTCACTCCTTCTGTATCTCCTTGTTCACCCCTTCTGTATCTCCTTGTTCACCCCTTCTATATCTCCTTGTTCACCTCTTCTATATCTCCTTGTTCTCCTTGTTCACCCCTTCTGTATCTCCTTGTTCACCTCTTCTATATCTCCTTGTTCACCTCTTCTATATCTCCTTGTTCACCTCTTCTATATCTCCTTGTTCACCCCTTCTGTATCTAATTGTTCCCCTTGTTCACCCCTTCTGTATCTCCTTGTTCCCCTACTTCTCCTTGGTTACCCCTTCTGTATATCCTTGTTCCCCTAGTTCCCTTTATGCACCCCTTCTGTATCTTCTGTTCCCCTAGTTCTCCTTGCTCCCCCTTCTGTATCGTCTTACAAGTATCAGCATGTAGGAGATCAGTGTGTACTGCAAGCTTTTGGGAAATTTTTAACAAGCATTGCAAAGCATTTACAACGTTTCGGCAAGCTTCAAGCAGCTCTGTAAAAAGCCTTCAAAGAACTCTTCGGTTCCTCTCTACCAGGTTGCTGCAGACTTTTACCAAGCTTCCAGGTAGTGTTGCAGCACTCCCATTAAGATCTGTGTTCAACATTCCCAAACTGGAGCTGAGGGGTACTTTACAAGGCTTCAAAGAAGCTTGCTGAAAGCTCTGCAAAGTCTTTAGAAAAGCTTCCTGTACACATGGCCCCTATACATGCTGAGGCTTGTGTGAACAAGGTCTATGAGGTTTCAAGTAGAGAGAGAGGATGTGAAAGGGAGCAGCTTTGGTTTGGTTGGTGGGCACTCAAAGGTGTTCCCCATGAGTCAAAATGGCATATTGTATTCTTATTACACCAGGACACAGCCCGCCTTTCTGAATGTTATAAACCTACAGTATGAGGTCTTTACTCTTGTGGAAGACCACTGAGTGCCTACCAAACCTTTTGGTATATTGCTTTATTTGTGTGGAGCACCAAGGCAGTACTATTGAGGACTGAGTGCTGATACTGCTTCTCTCTATCTCTTTCTATATACAATATATATACTGTATATCCATAGTAGGTACAGAGGCACTTACTGGTCTTGCAGTCAACGGACTGAGCTCAAAACTGCTGATGCTTTGACTTATCTCCTCTGAAAGACCCATGAGTGCCTCTACTTCCAATTGGTACAGGTATTTTGGTGGATGAGCTCCCGGCCATTTACCTTACTAACAGAGCGCTGTGTCTACATTGAATTTCCTACACAACTAAAATACCTATAGAGGGAGTGAGAAGTTTGACATTGATCAGGTTTTAGAAATCCATGTTTAGGCTTTCGTAGGCCTAACAGTTAACTGGTCAGGGTTCCTTCAGTGTCATAAAACAGGATCACTACTACGTTCTCAGGTCAGTGTCAGGAACCATTCATTGAGGGGAACACAGGAGATCAGCACTCCCGTAGGTGGCGGTTTTGGAAGAAACTTCACCCAGTGGTTACTCTGCATTGGAGGAGTGTTTGATGGCTCATGGCGGAGGAGGAGGTCAGTATTGATTTTTTTCGAAGGTATGCCATTTGTAAAGCAACTTTGAGTCATTGTAAGACGAGAGGTATGGCTGAATTCCACAACAGCCATACTGTACTCAGGGTCATTGAAGGTGATGGGTGTACCATGCCTTAGAGCTATAGAACTGCTCACCTGGCCGTGGTGTCTGTGGTCCTGTGACCGGCGGTGAGGTCCTCTGTGTTGGCCCTTCAGTGGTGGTAATCATTTCTGAAAAAGAAAGATTTTTATTAATAGTGACCATGTGCAGAATTAAAGTTTATCTCCAATGCTTTGAAAATGATTTACTGTAAAGATTATTTTCTGGAATTGGTAATAAATAAAAAAAAGTCAATTAGAATGAGAATTGGAAGTTACAATTCATTGCTTAAAACTGCAAATCCGAGCCAGTGTGCCGAACCTGCAATGTCAGTAGTTGGCTTTGATAGCCAATGACTGATGATCCAATGCTGGTTCCTTGGTGCCGGTATATTGCAGCACAGGGTAGGGTGCTCTTCAATGCAGAGGATCCCGGCACAGGAGAGGTAAGTGGGTTAAGTGTACATTAGGGTTATTTTGAAGGTTAGTGTGAGGGTTACAGGGATAGTGTTACAGGAAGGGTTAAAATGAGGGTTAGATGGAGAGTTAGCATTAGGGGTTAATAGGGGATTTAGTGCACAGGTTACAGGGAGATGTAGTGTGAGGGTTACAAGGTGAGTTAAAGGTCAGTGCTTTCCCCCCATAGTTCTCCTCAGGGTCACGGGAGGACACAAACTAGAGTCCTCCCGTCACCCCAAAGCTCAGTATATAGCGGGCTACAGCTCACGGGAATACTGAGACCGCCACAGCCGGGACGGATCCCGACGTTACTATTTAGAGGCAGAGCCAGCTGTGCCCCTCCCCCCCCCCGTCAGTCAGCGCTGGAGGATCGGAGCGGGGAGGGGAGGAATCTGCCGCCCGAGGCAGACGCCTTGTTTGCCTCGCAGCAGATACGCCCCTGACACACAGGGACTAGCTGAAGACCGCTCAAGAACTTGGTCATGGCTTCTTTGTTTATATATGAAAGCGTGCGCGCTAATGAGCGTGCGCCCGTACACTAATGAGCGCGTCTCCGTACACTCACATACGTGCACTATTGCTCATAAACATTCTCATATGTGCACGTCCATACCGAGATAGAACTATGAGGTGAGTGATTTTCACTCACCTCATACCGTGTTTCCCCGAAAATAAGACACTGTATTCATGTACAAAAATAGGGTGATCTGGGCAATCAGGGGTAAGAGCAATTTGGTAACCAATCGCTCTCCAGAATGAGCGAAGCGCACTTTCACTATCGATACCTCACAGGTGGAGCGCATTTGGTATCAGTCCGCCTGTGACAGGACCCGGCGCTCTAGAGGAGGGTTCGGCTTATGCGGCTCTGCTCCCTCCGGTGCCGCCTCGCTTCCCCTAGCGCTGGCTTTGTTGGCACCACTGATTCTCTCCCGCCTCTCCCGCGGCTCTTCAAGTTCCCCCTTAGGCCACCACCGGCCCTGGGAATGGTCACAACTAGGTCTTATTTTCGGGGTAGGTCTTATATTTTAGCAATTCCCAAAAATAGTACTAGGTCTTATTTTTGGGGTAGGTCTTATTTTCGGGGTAACAGGGTAGTTCTCCTTTAAGAAACGGCTTATAAATCTTCTGCCCACCCACATGCCGGGCAGATGCCATTGTCACATCATTCCTGCCACTAGATGGAGCCAATGAGCATCAAAATTGCTGTGCTCCTCAGCTCCATCTAGTGGCAGGAATCCTGTGTAAATGGCATTCGCCCAGTGTATTACTCGGTGGAATATTTATTACTGAGCCCCTTCATGTTAGGGCTGCATAGACCAGTGTGCAAGTTACAGGGAGTTTTACAGAAGGGTGAAGAGTTTGGAGAAGGAAGGAGAAGAAGGAGAACAATCTAGGACAACATCGCTGACCCGAGAAGTGAGCTGAATTGGAGAATTTTCCCAAATTAGCGATGTTGTCCAAGAAAGGGGTTACAGGAAGGGTTAGTGTTATGTGGGGGGTAAGTGTGAGGGGTTATTGGGGTGGGTAAGTGTGAGGGTTACAGGAACTTACCTGTACATGTGTCATCCCGTTTTACAAGTGTGAAGCACGCTGGTAAATATCTGGAATTGCACAAACCACCGTCACAATAACAGGTATTGCTTTGGCAAACGGCGTCTAGAGGGCACTCGCTGTCATTCGCACATTTATCTGCAAGAAAAACAAAAAGTTTTAGTGCATTTAGTTTTTGGCAGAGTATCAGCAAAACAGCAGAATCCGTTAAATGTTCAAGAGCGGCTCATTGTTAAAGTGTTTAAAGACCGGACTGTCAGCCGAAAATCTGGGTCTGAACGTGCGAATTGTGGCCGTCAGCGACTAGTCAATGTTAGGGCAGAACGGGGGAGGGGCAAGACTGGTACAAGACAACAGAAGGGCAACAGTGCCGTGTCAGATCCCTCGCATCACCTTTCAACATCTCGTGGTGTCACGAGGCGGCCCAACGAAGTACTGATGGGGGGGGGTCATAATAATCTGGCCACTCAGTGTAAATACCAATGATAATAAAATAGATTTGTATTGTAACCGTAATGTCTTCCTTATATATCGTTTCACAAACTGTTTGCACTTTATAAATCCTGTATAATAATACTAATGATAACTACAACGATGAGCTGGTCTAAGGCTACCAGCACACTGCAGAACTGTTTGTCGTCTTTGAGCAACACAACATTACCTTCAGAAAGCCGCTGGCCTCCAGAACCCAACACGACCAAAGAGTTTCCAAAGCCAGTTGAAGACACTTTGAATCTTTAAATGCTCAAAGTTGCTTCGAGGAATGAAAGGCTCAGCACTGCTCGGTGATGCATCTCAATGAGCAGATATGGTGTTAGTTCCAGGACAGGGAAAAAAGAAAGAAAGAAAGAAAGAAAGAAAGAAAGAAAGAAAGAAAGAAAGAAAGAAAGAAAGAAAGAAAGAAAAAGAGAAAGAAGAAAGAAAGAAAAGAGAATAGAAGAAAGAAAAGAGAATAGAAGAAAGAAAAGAGAAAGAAGAAAGAAAAGAGAAAGAAGAAAGAAAAGAGAAAGAAGAAAGAAAGAAGAAAAAAGAGAAAGAAGAAAGAAAAGAGAAAGAAGAAAAAAAAGAAAGAAGAAAGAAAGGGGAAAGAAGAAAGAAGAAAGAAAGAAAGAAAAAGAAAGAAAGAAAAAAGAAAGAAAGAAAAAAAATAAAAGAGAAAGAAGAAAGAAAGAAAAGAGAATAGAAGAAAGAAAAGAGAAAGAAGAAAAAAAAGAAAGAAGAAAGAAAGGAGAAAGAAGAAAGAAGAAAAAAGAGAAAGAAAAGAGAAAGAAGAAAGAAAGAAAGAAAAAAGAAAAGAGAAAGAAAAAAGAAAGAAGAAAAAAGAAAGAAGAAGAAAGAAAACTTGCCGCACTTCTTACCGGGACTCCTAAAAAAAGACGGGTGCTCTACATGGCCGCGGATGGCGCCGCCACACGTAAACAAAAAGGAAGACGTCACCAGCACTCCAACAACGATAATAACAGCGATTCCCCTTCGTCGCCCCTGTGCGGCCCCCGAAAAGCGCTCGCCAATGAGAGACGGCATCTGTCAATAAATGAGCACCTAATCGCTGTTATTATCGTTGTCGGAGTGCTGGTGACGTCTTCCTTTTAGTTCCAGGACTGGATCTCCAGAAAGTGCTCACAGGGATCACAAGAAGTGAAACTCTTCTCACACGATGGTGAAGTATATAAATATCATTATAGAGGATAATCAGCCGCTCACCGTTTGGCAGTGCAGTGCGCTTTGCCATCCTCCTCATTCTCAGGCCAGGCTGATGAGCAGGGACAGTCAGGGCTGAGGAAGAAAGATATTCATAAGTAAAAACTATTTCCTTAATGATACTTCATAATATCCAGGAAATATTACAACAATGAGAGGTAACAATCGATTGAAAACGTTTGGTCATGTGATTGGCTTTTTACAAATCGGCCAAGCCTTGTAGGTGGAGCTTGGTGGGCTGAGTGAGCTTTTGGTTCATAGCTAAGTAGACTTGTGCGCCGTCAAAAAATTTGTTCCGTTTCGGAATATACGTTATTTCGTATTTCGTAATTCGGGTCCGAAACTCAATTCGGATTCGTACGAAATACGAATTTTCGTTAGTTTCGGCACATTTTCGTAATTTTAAGAACATTCGTTATGATGAAGTTAAAAAGCAAAAATACCTTTGTTAATATTGGAGTCGATGTGGTAGTGGTTTTTTTTTAATCCGAAATACGAAATTCCGTTAACGGATTCCGGATCCGAATTTCGGATTAAAAAAAAAAACTCATCAACTCCAATATATTAACAAAGGTATTTTGCTTTTTAACTTCAATATAACAAATGTTCGTAACGGAACGAAAATACGTCAACGGAATTTCGTATTTCCTGCCTGTGTATTGTAATGCAACTCTCAGCAGCAGCGGATCCGTATTTCGGATTTAAAAAAAAATCTTGTCATGTTGTTCAATCTCATTTACAGGGGTAATATTAGTTCCCCTTTCAAAGAAATTCGGATTTCAACGGAATTTCGTATTTCGGATATAATTCGGAAACTGCAATTCGGATTTCGGATGCTTCAGAGTTTACGAATTTCAGGAAAATTCGTACGAATTTCGATTCGTAACGAAACGAATCGCACATGTCTATAGCTAAGGTGGCAGTGAGGTCTCCCGACTCTGTCCCCGTCCACCTGGGAGTTGTTTTGGCTGTTTCTGTCCACTTCTATGTGTGCCAGATCCCCCGACTTCATTCTCAATCATATAGGGACAGGGGGAGCCCCTCAAATTCACCAGAGCAAGTGTGCAGACCCAAAAACTTAAAGTAATATTCAACTCTCAAACCATTCATCAAAAACTAACATATCAGTTCTGGATGGACTGGCCCAGTGTTGGCACAAAAGTTGCAGATTTGAACATGTTGTGGTGCACAATGTAATGCCATCAGTTTGGTTGGTAGCAAGTCTTGGTTTAGATTAGGGGATGCACCGAAACCGATACTAGTATTGGTGCCGATACATGATGTTTGGCCGAGTACCCGAACTCGCCCGGCTTCCTGATTGGCCCGGGAAGCTGGCTTCATGCTGATTGGCTAGGAAGCAGGCTTCCCAGGCCAATCAGTATCGATCTAGCCAAACAGCATAGTGCCAGCTTCCCGTCCAATCAAGAGGCTGGGAGGTGGGTCCATGCCGACGAAAGCACCGGTATCGGTACTCGGTATCGGTACCGGCGAGTACCGAACGCAAAAAATTGCACTAAGCAGACCCATCTTCAGTCTATGGGCTGTCACATGTAAGAGGACATTTGTCCATTTACATCTGAATACCTCTTTCAGATCCGCCAAAACAAAACTCTTTTCCGTTTTTTTGTTGTTTCGGACCTAGACGGAGGTAGTTGAATGTAAATGGATGCGTGTCTATGTACATTCAGTTGCCTATAAGGTTACATTGGGTTTCTGCTCAAAAACGGACAGGAGGCTCGGATCGGACTGCTCGCGTGGAAGGGGCCTTCTGAAGATTTCCCTTTACTATAGACTCAGCTAGAAGTGAGTTAAATCCTCTCTTAGACATTTGTGAATGAAATACGTGTCCCCATTGGACCATTTCCCCTCTATTGCTAATCTGGTGACATCTCAAAATGTTGTTTCAAGTTTTGGCTTTAGATACACTTTATTGTCCAAGTCCGAACAAGACTTAATGGATGGGAAGCAACAGGCAACCACCAAAACAGGAACCAATTGTAGCGCCCATCACCTTCTGTGATGTGACTACTATACATTTAGTGATGGGCGGGGCTGTAGACAGCCTGGCTGGATTTGTAGTAGCAATTACATGGTTAATCCCAGATGTCTAACATTGTCTGTACCCCCCCCCCC